CTTGTCCAGTATTAAGAGAAGCTCGGAAGATTAGGTACAGGGGTACCGCCAAAAGTGCACTAAATCCATAAATCGACTTCAACCGTTTCCTGCCACGCCAATGCGTATTTCGGCTGCCTGACTCGCCGTCTGACGGTTGTTTCTAGTCTGCATGCAACCCGGACGCGAATGTCTGAGCACACAGCAGCGGTAAAGAGCGGCAGCGGTTCACTCGACGGAATCCAGTCATATTTTCATATTTGACTGGGCCAAATCCTTGCTAGAGATAACAAACCCATGAACCGCGAGCTACTCTAGTTATGTTTCTCAGGCCCACAGTCTAACAAGCGCAATGACCTGCCGTTTCCATATTCTGTACTGAGACTCTATCTGCGCAGGGGAATCATCCACTTGGGGAGTGCATGGGCCTACAGCAATTGCAATGACAACGAGCGAAATGGTCACATCGTTACTACGCCAACGTCCATCACGGTTGACGAAATCGCGGCAATTATCGATACGGAGTGCAAACCCTTCGTCGCATCAATTATGACTTCCAACGGTGATTACAGGGGGTGTTACTTGTAGTATGCATTTGTGGTCACTTGGTTACTCTGCATTACAAATAATGTGCACATTGGGCCTCTACCACTCTTAGCTGCGATTGTCTCTGATAGTGAGTTAGAACAAGAATCCGAAATGTCAGGCCAGTAAAATTCTTCCTCTAGTGATCGCGTCTTCTTCTGAACTGCTTCCTAAAAGTCGCCTATTTACTTCTATCAGCAGATTTTTGTTTGCTAAACTAATACTTCCGACCGTAGGCAACAGGAAATTGAACTAATATGACAGTATTACCACCTGGTGGTTTCTTTTTACGGCCACTTAATAATTTTCCCATGTACTAGCTTTAATCGTCATTTTATTTTAACCTTCTTTCCTTTCTCAGATCCCCAGGGCCGCCCTAATCTCCTCAAGCATGTTTTTCCAAGCAGCTTTCGAGAGTGGAATGTCGGAAAGTCTTTCTGGACGATTCTTCCTGCCCGAGTTTTC